GTTAAAACAAACAGGAAGATAAGGTAAAATTGCGGGAAATCGATATCTATAAAAAACTGCGATTGCTTTTATTTTTTACGATAAGGGGCTCTCTCACTCGGTTTGATATAATCCTCGATATCTCCGATTTAGAAACAACAAATTAGAGTTAGGTAATTTCATGCTGGCGCGGCATTTTCAGGTGATGGAATTTTTCACGAACGTTCAGATAAACTCGCGTGTCTATATCGTCATCTTCTTTCCCTTTACCTGCGCCTTGGGCTTCGTACCGAATCTGAAGTATCTAACGCCGTTCTCCATTATCGGCACTTCCTTCCTGTTCCTTGGAGTTTGCACCGCGTTCTACTACTTCCTGGACGACGTTCCCGATCCCCGTAAACTCGACGTTCTGACGGAAGTTCTACCTGTGCCCATGTATTGCGCCATTTTCCTGTTCGCCTTGCACAATATGACCCTGTACCTACCGCTGGAAAACACGATGAGGCATCCCAGTCATATGCCGCGTCTAATTATCGTCAGCACCTTGTTGAACGTTGTCATATACCTAACTTTCGGCTTCCTGGGCTACAACAAGTACCCAGATGCTTGCGACACCGTTATCAAGAACTTACCAATGGAGGAGACGTAAGTGGATTATTTTCTGTCTTGCAAAACACTCGTACCACACCACTATAGTCCAGATTTAATTAATACTTTAACGTTGAATACATATATATATATATATTTGACATTTTTCTCTTTCTCTTTCCCTTTCTCTTTCGATTAATTACAGTTAATTATATTTAGTGGAAAAACTGCTAGCTTTACAGATCATTTACAAACAAAATATTTGAAGAAATTATGTCAGTTTTTTGTGCAAATAAAATTTATTATTTGCCAGGAATTGCAAACAAATCGTTATCAAAAGCTCATTCTTTTTCTCTTTCCATCGATTATAATTAATTATATTTAGAGGAGAAACTGCTAGCTTTATAGGCCATTCACAAACGAAATATTTGAAGAAATTACATCAGCTTTTTGTGCAAATAAAAATTTGTTATTTGCCAGGAATTGCAAACAAATCGTTATCAAAGGCAATTAAACTGTGCATTAACTGTGCGACAAATGGTAAATATGTCGGCTGTGTATCTGTTTTAAATGACAGCTGTATAATTGACATCGCGTAATCGGTGATCACAGAACAGGATGTGCTTAACATTTACGTGATCGTATGATTCTTTACGTGTTCAGTATTTATGATTTACTTTGTATATACTGTACTTCTCGTAAGAATCACAAGGCAACGGGACCTTCGAATAACTTAAACTTAACAAAAGCGAAACGAGCTAGCAGACCGTGTAGAAAAGAAATACGCAATGTACAATTGTGAGGGTCAGTTTGACCACGTAAACATGAAGGACTCAGGTATGACTCGGATTTAAAATTAGTTTGAATTGAAGTCAACTTCAGTTGAAATATCACAGTACACCTTTTTTGCGTGAATTATTAAATCGCTTATCTATACGTAACGAACAACGTTCTATATATGTATCACTATTAACACGTGTCCGGTGACGTAGCTTATCTTATAATTTATGAAATTTTTTTTTACGATCGAACTTTACAGATCGATGATTATACGTAGATTAATAAAATTGTAATGTATGTATATATCTCAGTGAGAAATGACAATAAAATCGATGTCGATAATCGATGACGATTCCATTACCATTTCTTATTGGGTACGTTCTTATGATACTGCTGTAGTATTTTGAAATTCAAATAATAATGATATAACGTTTCCTGGTAGATAATGACCGTTTTTTTGTCATCATTATAAACGTATAACATTATACTTCTGAGCATTAATTTAGATCTCTTTTCTTTATATAATAATCGCGTGTGTGTGTGAGAAAGAGAGAGAGAGAGAGCGAGAGAGAGAGAATTATTGCATCAAAAAATTTATTTTTACACTGAAAAAAATGTTTGATTGAAAATGGACAAACTAGAAAATTCTGATATCAATCCAGCTATCTCAACTAGAAATTTTAATAGATTTAACCAGAAAATTCTAGTTGAGATAACCGGAATTCTGATTAATATAATCAGAATTTTCTGATTTGTCCATTTTTTCAACCAAACATTTTTTTCAGTGCATAATAAATCTTACAATAGATTTCTATCGATTTCAAAATTGCAATTCATGGCTTCATTCATTTTATCGTTCGTTACTCTTTGCAGGCTGGCCCAAGTAGTCAAGATAGCTATTTCCTTGTCAGTCCTGTTTACTTTCGGTTTGACATACTACGTGCCGATCAGTGTGCTATGGCCTATGATCCACTCGAGAATCGTCACGAAGAGTTCGCTGCAACATCGATTTTATGAAAGCTTGCTTCGGTTAGGCGGTGTAATCGGCACCAGTAAGCGTACCACGATTATAAGCATTTAATGTTACGAATGTCGATTGTAATTAGCAGGAAATAACTCGTCCTTGTCCTTCTTTCTGCTTGTAGCGCTGCTGGCCATCGCTGTGCCCCAAATGATACCTTTGTTGGGCCTGTTCTCCGCCTTGGGCTTGTCGACGCTCATGCTGCTGATACCCATACTAATCGAGACATCGACTAAGTGGGCGGAAGCCACGAGGACGATGTTCGCAAAAAACATCGTTATTTTCATCGTGTGGCTAATAATTTTGGTGCGATTTTTCTTAGAAATGCGCAAAAAACAATTTTGTAGGAGTATCTAAAAATCTAGCTAGATACAAATCTAAAAAATAATTTTATTCGAACCATTAAAATAATTATACTCGTATAATACTTTCAACATGATGAATAATGCTGAAAAAAAATGGAATATTTTAACAACCATCTTGAGCATTTTACATAATTATTTTAATGATGATAAAAACAAAATCATTTTTATATTTATATCTAGCTAAATCTTTAGATATTTTATTACAATCATCGTTTCCGTATAGATATATGAAAACTTATTGCAAGTTTGGATTTTGTAAAAATTTGAAAAAAAATTAGTCTTACTTCAAATTTTTTCTAGTTAAAAATTAATTTTTACAAATTTTAAACTTAAATAATTTGTTTAAGACCAAATACTTACATAATTTTGCTTATTTCTCCGAATCAAATACTAATTTTAGTTTCGAGATTTAATTAGTCTTTAAGATAGTTAATCAATGTAGATTATCGGGTATAAGGGTATATAAGTATATAAACATTATTGTTATTCATCTGGGACAGCAACTTAATTTTAATATGCCGTAATCGTTTTGAATAAAGCAATACGCATTTTTGTATTATTTTACAGGTTTTTGGAACAATAGAGAGCACCTGGTTAATTATTAGAGAATATAGCGGAACAAAGCAGGAAGAATGTTGATTAACAGTCTGTCAAACCGCTTGAGAGACTCTTGGCACAAAATTATGCTTCCTACGATAACATAAGACATTAAGCAGTCTGATGTCACTTAAGGATGTAGATAATCAGTAAGCAACGAAGGACAGATTCTCCAGAGCAACGAAGCGAAAAAGGATGAGAACGAATAGAATACACGGGAAATCTTTATAACAATGTTCTTCGACTGTATTTATTTTCCCGCATTGTGATTTTATGCACAAAGAAATATCTCATGTTCCGCTGATTACGAGATCATTTCAGTTTGCACACCGGCATGGCATCGTAAGGATCATGACGTATCTCGATCGTTCTCGTCTTGTGATTTTCTCGCTTCTAAATGTCTGATCAACGTGATTGATATCTGACCGGTATCGAGGACCCTTCATTTCCGTAAAGAGTGGAATGTGGCACTTGCGACATTCCGAGGGGGCACCTTCAATTTCCCTTGGCCAGCGTTTACGTAACGCGCGGCACCGCAGAGTTGCGCCGTTCGCGATGTGGAACAAGAGCGACAACCTACAATGAGAAACTGCACCGGCGGCGCAGAAACGGCGGTCCAGAGAAGGGAGACCTGCCGGGGACCTTTTTGCAAGAGGATGAAGAGAGACGGTGAGTGCGTGCGACCTGCGGACGAAGAGAGACGAGGATAAGGTGAAAGGGAACGCGCGTGATGTGGAGGCGCGAATCGAGCTGATCGCACAGTCGAATAACCGACGTCCCTATGGGTACAAAACACAGGCAACGGTTACTTGATGTAGTATTCTTCAGGAATCGGAGGTGTCGACGATTTCTGATTCGAGCGGCTCGTCGCGTCCGTTTTTATCGAGCCTTCGACTTTATAGTGCCGTTAATTATATCAATCAATTAATTACGCGATCACCAGCATTTGAGGATAAACGCGCAATGGGATAGAGAAGCGGAAGCGATATCGCAAGGATTAGGTAGAGGGAAAGACGTGAAAGCGGAAAGCAATTCGATGTTTGTACGCTCGATAAATAGCGCTTCGATTAATAATTTTGGATGTTGTTATCGTCGATTCTGATTATTTATTCAAAGAATCGCAAACATTGAGGTATCTCAGAAAGAATGTAAATGTTATTTACATGTAAATCACATAAATATTTTCAAATATCTTTATAATTATATATTTTGCACGTGTCAAACTCTATATGTTCGATTTTATCTTCAATCTCGCAATATTTTCGACTTTGTAAATCCTAATCAAGCGATTTTTTCAATTGACGTCGGGATTCATAGTTGATAAATGATTCTGTTAATAAAAAAAATAAAGACGTTAAACTGTTATCCGCCCTCACTTTCTTCTTTGTACTATGATTGTACACGATTTCGCTGACGTATCTCATAAAATTTAGTTACATACAGATCTGAAAATATTTTTGTTAAATTATCAAAATAAGTAAGTACGATAGATAAGTAAGCTTAGGCTTATTGTTAGAATGTCAAAAGTTTTTACTGCATTGTTCATCATGCTTGAGTTTTCAACATAATTATTTTGATGGTCCAGCCAAATTATTTTCAAACATGTATCTATACCTAAATTTTTTAATATTTTAGCATTGTTTCTGTGTAATAATTAATTATAAATATTTACATCTGGAAAAATATTTTCCTTACAATTAACTCTTCAAGCATTGTCAAATCCCCATTATTCGATATATGGAGCAATTTTTTGCCTGTGATATTGGCAAGCAGAACCATTGGCTTTAATTCCCGCCACACATTCTCGTGCACACTTCAAATGTCGAATCGAGTACATTACCTGCTGTCACTATCTACTCCCTCCCTTTCTGATGTACTCGCATGAGCGATGAAGCTTGTGTTCGCGGTAGTCACTCGTATATTGACTGTCCGTACATATATATATACCTAGCTAACGCTAAGAAACTTACCCAGTCGTGTGCGGTCTGTCACCATTTCACGTTAATTTCGGCTCGTTATTCTTATTATCCTTCCACTTCTCAGTGAAAAACCAGAAAAAACTCAGCATCTTGCAAAATCGACGAGGATTACATATTCATTGTTCTACGTTCATCGACCACTCAACGATCTCAGACGGAAAAAAGTTGTCAATCTCTCGAATGATTACCTTAATAAATCTGTCAATGTGAGACTAAACCCTGATTACACGATTGCGGAAATGCCGGCAATAATTTCCAGTGGAATTCAAGGACAACACAGATGAGTTATCAAAGATAATTTATTCTCGAAACCGCGAAATTTTTCATGGTGGAGCTACGCACGAATTCCCATCGACATCAATTAGTGAAATCTATTTATCATCAACTTGCAGTGCAAGCGTGCGATTTCCGAATTATTTTCACATTTCCAAGATTGGAGAGAAATTCGTAAAGCATAGGATATAGATAACGTACAGTGCAGGTCACTGCACAATCGTCGTCATTATCTCTTTGTATATTTGCAGACGGCAGAATTTATTTGATTTGTTGACTGCAGGATTGCGCGATTCATTTGGATTTTTCTGATAATCTTGTAAATCATACCTGAACAACTTTAATAATCCGCTGATAAGTCATTATCGCGTTATATTATAAATGTAATCTTTAAGAAAAAAAAAGGCAATACGAATCCCTCTGTAGAACTTACGGGTTCCCGCTCGATCGAAACTCACGTGAGCGCTTCGTGCTCCATGAAAAGGAGAAAAACAGAAAGAGACGAAGAGAAAATAAAGATCTTTAGATAGACGAGAGTTGAAACCAAAATACTAAAGTAAAACATTGAGTTAAACAAGATTGATATTTCATCTGAGCCGAGTGATAATGTGAATCTGGTATACTTCAACGTCGTCAGAGAAAAAAATAAACGTTCTTCGTAAATCAAGCAACAAATTTTCGTTCGTCCACGTCTCAATACGCAAAAGTAAGTATGACTTTAACAGCACAAATTACATACATTGTAAGTACGAGAAAATTTATGAAAATATAAAACTTTGTTATTTAAATTGTCATCCGAAGGTTGTTGACGAAAGTGTTAACTTACAAATGACTCATTTACGCAAGGAGTGTGTATCTATAAACAGAGAAAACAAAATACTTCTGCATTCTATATATGATAAGTCTGACATTGAAATCCGCAACTGATTTTATAAAGACTCTTGTTAAAACATAAAAATAAAAATCTAAGTAAAGGGCATATAAGAGTCAATAATTAAAAATACTTAAATATAAAATATAGACATATAATAGTAATAAAATTCTTCGATCAAGAAGCCGAAACATGTAATGAAATTATTGTTAGACCAATGAGATATATTATAGTTATACCATCGAAACATTTGTAAGAATCTTATCGAAGAATTTTATTACTATTATATGTCTATATTTTATATTTAAGTATTTTTGATTATTAACTCTTACTTAGATTTTTATTTTTATAAAGTCATGAAAACGAAAGTAATTTTTTAAAAACTATCAAAATATAGTCACGACCATGATTCTTCCACCATGGTCACAAAACAAATGTGACGTAGAATATTAGCGTTATTTGATTATAGTTCTATGTAACGAGTAATTGTTTATTATTAAATAATAGTAAATTAAATATAATAATAAATTAAATAATAATAAATTTTATATGCTGTAAGAATAGTAGTAAAATAATTATGTGAATATTTAGATGAGTCAATGAGTAACCTAAATTTTACTTTTAAAAATTAAAGGTATAAATTAACGTTATTTATATATTAACTCGTTCACGTGTGTTGAAATTACAATTTTTAAAAATATTAGTTGATTCATCTAAATGCATACATTCATGAGCTGTCAAGCAAATATTTGTCAAACAAAAAATTACAAAATTTTATTGACATGGCTCTATATTTAACATCTTTTAATTTTTATCTATGTAATACACAATTACATAAATTGCTTTAAAAACCTTGAATTATCTTTAAATATCTTTAAATGCTCGTAAGTGGTAATCTATATTTTCTGCCTCTTGTTTCACAAGTTTTACAGAAAGTAAGAAAAAGAAATATTTTTTTTAAATAAGAATATTTTTTTATGCTATATATACAAATTTTATAACAATGTTATTATAATAAATTTATTAAATTAACATATTCTTTAATGTAACAATTGCAGTATATAATTAATAACATAATACAACATTTGCATAATATAACACAATTTAAATTTAACGGAGATATCTGGAAATATACTAAATTATATTACATATATAATTGGAATTGTGTATGTGTGAAATAAAGTATTGCTCCGCGTGAAAGCGGTTAACTTTTATATTTGACGATCCAAGTAGCATAGTGCCTGTAGCGCTTACAAAGCGTTAAAAAGTGATCATATGCGCTTTTTTAGCGCTTTGTTAACGCTTTATAAGCGCTGTGTGCTACTTGAGAAGATCTCAGAGAGAGAGAGATTCGACCCTGAGGTTTATTCCATACATTTTCTCATGAATTGGTTTTTAAACCATTCGTAATCTGCGTAAAGCGTAATGGGCATTTTTAGAATTAATTATGTATAAAAATTTATAAAAGAGAATTCTATTTAAAGATATTTAAAAAAACGTGTTTAATGATCGAGCTATCCAACAGCAAGTTTTGCTTGATATTTGTTACTAATTTGCCATTATATTGTGCTGTGCGTATTCTTACTCGGTTTTTGCCATTTATTTGTTGTTTGCTTCTCATTTTATGAGCAGCAAAGTTTTGTTACATTTTTGCTGGAATTTTGTGGACATCGATTCAATTAATAAATTTTGCATTATATTTATCATTTTTTCTGTAAAGGAAAATTGTTGCAAACGTAGTGTATATCTATTTTATAAATGCAATTTGTAAAATTTATAAAAAATTTTTATTGTAAAATTGGTTTTATAATTTTACAATAAGAATCCTATGTGAATATACAATTTATAATTTTATAATTGATTTTATAATTTATTGTATATTTATATATTTTTACAATACGTAAAACATATTAAATTTTTGTCCAATTGTTAAATATTTCCAACGTACAGTTTAATAATTTTTCTGAAATAATTAAATATTTCTAATTATAGAATTCTGGTAAAAATCGACTTTAAAAAATTTTAATTTATTATAGTCTCTTACCAAAATTTGACATCACAGTAATGTCACGCATAAATCTACTACATATACACATCATGACAAGCATTTATGAATACTGAGCTAACATTTACTAAGAAACAGAACGGCATGCAGTAGTTATGTGCAATTAATCTTTTTATAAATATTTAAGTGAACGCGCGCGCGTTTATATTACGGTAGGGATAAAGAAGAATGAATTTAATTTTAAACTGAAAGATTTGAATGATAATAATCTAAGTTGATGAAAGATTGAGTTAAACAATATTGATTTTTTTAAAGTTCGACGCGTACTTATCTCTAAGAAATTTTTTGAAACAAATTGTTTTTTTCTATTAGAATTTAAGAAATAGTTTATATAGTTTTGAAACACAAATCTTTGAAAGAAACATTTTTATGTAACAATTTTCTTAAATAAAATATAAAAAAAATTTGTTACGTAATCAAAAGATTACAATTATATTTTATAACAAATTATAAAATATTATATAACAAAAAAATTCTTTATTATTACTTTTTATTTTTCCAGTTTAATTTGTGTTCACAACTGAAGCATACCTGTTTTCTATTTTTTTAACTACAATTAATTTTTGAAAAAAATGAGATTTGAATCTACGATCTTAGAACGGTAGTCTATTACACTAACGCTGAACTAATCACACGTATTCGAGTCATTGCCAGCATTATTACCTTTTACTATAAATATTCATGCCTCTGCTGACAGTTCAATATTAGTTCAATATTAGTATTCGAGGAGATTAGATGGATTCGAAATTATACGCTAATATTTATTAATCAGCTAGGAAATGAAAATAACAAAGCAATTTCCTTGGTAACGCCATGATATTGGTCAACATTATGATATAAATATAAGGTATTCCATTCATAAGGATTCGCAGTCGTCTTAAACATGGCGGCTATTCTTTGATCAATCAAAACGGTGTCTTAAATTGTAAAAAGGAACCTGATTGCTACCAAGTGCATTCCATTAACATTGGGGCAAGCATTTGATTGGTTGTGCTGATTTAGTGCCGCCATTATGTGCAATGGAATAGGTATTTTATACTCTCATATCATGGTGTCAGCACCATGATGTAAGCATACAAGGTGTAGCATTGCGCATAATAGCAGTACTGGAAACAACCAATCAAATTTTGCCCAAAATTCGCTCTCCTACTGCACATTCACGAGAATGTTTCACCTTGTATTCTTACATCATGACTCGAGTCCTTTGTGGGCCATCAGATTTTTTCAAGTGGTTATGACGTGACAAAATATCGTGACAAAATTGCTGTAAAAAAATAACTTTTAAACTTCACTTTTTTGCTATAAAAAATAAAAATAATATGTTTTATAATAATAGAATGACTTGCATTCACGACTTGCCTATCATAAGTATTTACATAATAATTATTCTTTAAATATTCAATTCTTGAACATAGAATACAATTTTACAATAAATACTTACAGTTCGCAATAAATTATATAAAAGTTATAACGATTAAAGATGGTTCTAACCGCAAATTGCGGATACCTCTAATAAAATTTTTTCAAAACCACGAAGAATAATAAGAACTATATCCACTTGTCCTTGATAAAGCTTATCTATTAGATTATTGAGTTTATTTCTGAGTAGCGATCTATTTCGCTAAAATTAATTTACTGATTAACTTATCAAAAATTGTTAGTGGCAAATATTTCAACAATAAATTGCTATATCATGTTTCGATACGTATGGTGCAGAAATAAAACTACAAATATACTTCTACTACAAATATATTTCTTTAGCAAAGAGAAGTGCTCTCTTCCATTTCTTTTGATATAGTTAATTAGTATTCTAAGTATATATTATAAAAACAACTAAAATTTTTTAATTAATTTAGACTCTAATAAAATTATTATACGATTTAGTTTTTTTTAAATTGAATTTAATTATACTATAGTAAATATATATATTATTCTATAGTTTTAAAATATCAATAAAAGTTTTATTATATTATAAGAATATTTAAAGAATAAATTTACAGGCACAATTAATTATATCTACTTGTGTATGAATCTTATTCGTTATTGTAATTATAATATAATATTAAACGGTGAAGATCAAAGATGTTTTAGAATAGTTACACATTTATATTGTACGAAACTGAAGATGATCCGATAAGGGTCAAAACGTTTGTAGATTACATGTATTAGATTTTGATGAATTTTAATTGTTAACAACTACCATCCGGTTTGCGACTCGTAGCCTTGCATTAGAATTTTTTAATTGTTTGAGTCTTGGTTTTTATATTATTATAATATTGAACCTTTTATTATAGCGTTAATTAATATTTTTTTCAAGGTTAATTTCCACCTCCGCAAATTGTAATCACAGATTGTCCTTGCGTATCCTCTTGACATTATTCTTTGCTCTTCGTGGAATATTTATGAGACGTTGTTTCAATTGCGGGAGTCCTTCACGACTTTGAAATCCCTCATATATGCGTTGCATATATTCGCTTAAACAATCAAGGATCTTCCGAGGATCCATATAGTTATACATTCAGATCCGTTAGTTACTGCTGAATGAGATCATTTTAAGATGAAATCACACACGATGCTCGATTTCTTGAATGATAGCATGCGTACAGTCATAACTCGGAGAACGCGTTCGTCGCGTAATATACAGTTATTTTCCTGTCGTTTTTAATTAAAATAGCGGAAGTAGGTTAAGGGCCATCACACACAAAATTACATAAGCATAATCATAACATAAGGCCCCTAGATCAATGAGAATCTCATCATGTCTTTATGCTGAATGTTTATTGGTTCAACGGCCTTATGCTATGGTTATGCAGCTTATGTAACTTTGTACGTAATGGCCCTTAAGGATATATTCACACAATTTGCATAGATGCATAAACGTATGCATAAAGAAAATTATCCAATCGCATTTCTCTTATAAAATATGATTGGATAATTTTCTTTATGTATAAATTTATGCGGCTTGCAAGTTTGTGTGGATATACTCTAAGAATTGATCGCTATCGACTGATTGCAATCTTGAGTGCAAGAGGCCCCTTGCACAACTCTTGACTTTTTACCTTCCATTAATTTCCCACGTGAATCTCGGCTTGTCCGTCGAGTCGTAATCCATGAAGAATTTTCATCATCGGTCGTCGAAACAGCAGGTTTTTATTGGCGAATAAACTTCGGAGGAACTTTTAAAAAAATTGGTCAAGGTAAAGCATCATACGATGTCCATTTGTCAGATGTGTATTGTGTATATACATGTTAGAACTGTATTTCTTATTTACATAATTGCAAATTATTTTTTTTCCCCCGTAACTGACCACTTTTGTTGATAAATCTTTAAAAACTCACATCTCTTTTTCCCCACTATAACGTTTTTCGTATCCAAATTTCTCTCATCGATCTCAGCTCTCTTTTATTAATACTCCATGTCTCGACAAAACCGGTAAAAATGATTATCGATAATAATTGAACCTTGAACTAAATGTCGCGATTTGTCAAAACTTTGAACCAATTTTTCACAGATTTTTATTATTACCTTATCAAATATGTGATTAAAGAGGATTGATATTCGATCTTTTTATTGATTTCTTACTTACTTATTTTAATTTTAAGTGGCAAATTAAAAATTATATAATATATCCGAAATTTCATTGCGGCGTTAATCTCTTATCAAAAAATAATTTTAGAGAAATACGCAGATTTCTGTAATTCAAGTATTTGTTAGTACTAATTTATACAACTATTAGGAGCAAAAAAGAGCAATTAGTTCTCACAGTCGATATTAATCCGAAACATGACTTGGCTTTTAATTTTTTTTTATCAAAAAATATTAATAATACAGATTGCAGCTTTATCGATCTAAACTTTTTTCCGCAATACGTTGCGCGGACAAATCGAATGCAAGGAACTTTTGGTCGATATAACGTCATCGCGATAATATCGTTAACTAAATATATAAAAGAAATTACTATCACAGCATGGTTTCCTTTTCAAAGCTATACGGGTTATTACTTAGTATAAAAAATCGCGGTCAACCAGTGTTTATTTAGCAGTTTAGCTGATCGTTTCATATTTACAATGTGATACGGTAACGAGGAAGCCTTCCGTTTCCATACGATAACGCTTATCTATATCGGCAACTTTTTTTATTTTTAATTCGAAATTTATTGATTTTTCAACGTATCTCATTAACGTATTATTAACGAAAATTATAAGACGCAGCTAATAGAAACAAAATTTGAACATATAATAAATTAATTTACTTAATTTTATAACAAATTAATATTAATATATAATGTAATCATTTATTTTTGGATTATGTTATAATTTAATTATTATTGACAAAATATCTATAAAAGTAAATTGTGGTATATATTTAAGAATATTTTCTGTTCCTCTCTCTCTCTCTCTCTCTCTCTCCCCCTCCCTCTTTCTCTTCTGTATACCTTCTTTTTTTCTCTCAATAAATCTCATATTGTTATTCTCACAGGATCGCCATGGGTCGAGCGGAGAAAGAACTGTCGGACAATCCCATGACAGAATTCAGTAGCAGGTATTTCCGCCAGTTAATACTCGATATTGTTTGCATAAACCAAATAACAAAATATAAAAATATTGATTAAAATGTAATTCACTTATCGCATTACAAAAGCTTGCTGATATTTACACCATCAAATCCTATAGAATACAAATAACGTTGTTCGATAAAAAATAACTTTTTTTGAACACCAGGACAATTATTTTTTAAATGTTGAATATAAATACACATTTTCCAAGTTACTCCATCACATCACAATTTTGAGAAATTTTAATTTGCAAAAAATATTATTTTTACATATTTTGTAAATCATAATAATTTATTTTTCCGTAATAGATCCCACATTTAATCATGAATATCTTATTATATGTAGTCGAAACTAAAAAACTGTCTTGAGGGCTAAAAGACCTAACAACAATATGTTTAATTTTGATTGCAATAAAAGTTCTCTAGCACGTTACATATCATAGTTATTGTAATATGACAAAATGTAAAAATAATACTTTTTGCAACTTTAAATATAAATTTCTCAAAACGGTAACGTGATGATGGAATACTTTGGAAATCGAATTTGTATTCATCAACCAAGAAACTATGGAAAATAGTTAAGTTTGTTTCGGTGTTTTTTCTTTGATTGAACAATGTAATTAAATACGTACATGATCGACAAGAGCTTTCTTAATGGTCACAGTCATTCAACGATAAACGCATCAATCGCATGTAGATAACGTGGCTTCTGTATACGCAATGTCTGCAAAACTAATCATTGGATCAAGATTAATCGTCATGGAATGTGATTGTATCGTGTTTCATACGGAGATAGGAAGCTCATTGCATAAACTCGACATTTTTCCTTATAACTCTTAATCGAAATTGATTTAGTTCTTGTTAACGTTATTATCACTTGATGGGTCACGGATGACAAACGGTATTATAAAGATTTTTGCTTAAGAATCTTATAATTCTAAAAGCGTTTTGTCCAAAATTATATACATACAAGCACAATATAATATCTAGTAGTGCATTTTAGTTAAGATTTGATATATTGTGATATATATAGAATTCACAGTAAACAACATGACTTAATTTTCAACGAGAATTGCTTTTATGTAAATTTTCAATGTCATTGCATAAATAATATATATATTTTATCAGAAAATATTACTTTTTAATTTTCTCTCTATGTGCGAACTCTCTACAGGAGTGATAACACCTCAGGCTTAATTTAAATTAAATTTTGTAACATGTACAAATAATGTATCAACTGATGATGGCTTAGAATGATGCCGAAATGTTTGTTATTTATCGATTAATAAATCACTGATAATTTTGTTGCGCTCCAATTACTGCGCTTGACTCTCATTGGCAGTGTAGTTTTCCTTATTTTTTGTTAATATTAGAATCTCTTATTTCGTCACTTTTTACGTTTAAATTTTGTAACTTTTTTAATATCTATCTTCTTAAAAATCAATATAAAATTTCACAAATACTTACGCAGCTAAAGTTATTTCTTCACATTTTGCTTGAAAATGCATGGGGTATAATATTAGATACACCCCTATCCACGGTTAACGTTAAAACATTTATACATAGAGAGAAGTATAATGCAGCTGTAGAACTATTATTGAAAACATTAATTCTTAATATATTAATGATTAATATTATTTGAAATAATATTCATCATTAAATAAAATGTAAATATATAAAAAATATCAGGAAAAAAATAGCATCCCTTTCATTCACGAATATATTATTTTTAATGTCCCCTTAATTTCATGTGCATATGTTATTGCATTTTTTTGTTATCTCGTTGTAATAAAATTTAATGTTTTGTACGTATAATAGTTTATTTTTTTCATTTTAGCACGAAAATAGCTCCGAATATCGGCGAGTATAAAGAAAAGGATGAACTGTACGATCCATTCGAGCATCGTGATAAACAACATGCAACCTCGTAAGTCTCGTTAAAATTCTAGAATTTTTGTTGGCCCTTAAGTTGACATGTATTTTTCATATTCTGCCAAAAAAATATAAAAGTTGGGTATTGCAACATCCTGTCTTTAACGTATACATTAACGTATCGTCGCGTGGTAGCAAAGTGACACACATCTCATAATTAGCAATTTTTTAATAGATCATTTTGTAAATTCCGAATTGGAATAATGTTTTAATTAGGATAGTGCATTATATGCGTAACTTCACTTCCTTTCCTATATCTGCAATTTAAAAGAAACTATGGGAGTTTTCAAAATTTGAATATTCTGCATTTCTAATGCTAATTTTTTACTTCGGTTAACTTGCTTATCAACGCGACGATATGCATAAGCATAATATATTGCCATATATTATGCTATATATAACCATAATAATAGATATATACATTTTGAAGTAAAAAGAACAAAGTATCGATATCACAGCTTCATGTTCTGCCTTGCGTTTCAGAGATTTGGGCTCCTTGGCACATCTCCTGAAATCTTCTCTAGGGACGGGAATCCTGGCCATGCCACACGCGATAAAGAACGGTGGACTACTATTTGGCGGCATCGGTACGATTATAATTGGCTTTATTTGCGCCCATTGCGTGCATATACTGGTGCGTACGTCTCATATACTCTGCCGACGTACTAAGACGCCGCAACTGACGTACGCCGAAACGGCGTACGCGGCCTTTCTTTGTGGACCGAAACCGCTCAGGCCTTGGGCCAACGTCAGCAAGATATTCGTGAATACGGCGCTGTGCGCGACATATGTGGGCGGCTCGTGTGTTTATGTCGTGTTTGTTTCTAGATCCCTTCAGCAGGTATGCATCTTACATAATTCATGACAGTAAGATCGTTTATGTATGCTAAGGAATGGCACGACCAGCGGAACTTATTAATACGTTTTTGCCTCATTCTGTTACGACTAGTTCCTAAGTTCAGTACATTTATAATTTTAAGTAATCTAATGTGAGTCTAATGAGTACGAAATTGTTTTACATAATGATTATACCACTTATCGTATTTATCATGTTGATCTTTTCTTAAATAATTCATCTGCTATAAATATTAGGCATGCGTTAGCGAAATTGTTTGCGAGATATGTTAATGAGTTGATTAGATCGTCGTTTTATAAGGGAGAGAGCTGACATTCTCAAACTAAAACTCAAAGAAACTTTATAAGTATAGATTCCTTACAGAAATCTAATACTGTAATTAATTATTTATTTATTTTAAGTAAATAGTATTAAAAGCACTGTTCAGTATTTTTAATACTTTAAAAAATAAATAATTATTTACTTATTCTTTTTCAGTAATAAATTGATCAGTATTAGATTTCTGTAAGTGATATAAATACAAAGTACACGATTTAAGATTTGATAAACTGACTGATGCTTCACAATTTTTGTGATTTTACGATATCGAATAAATGTTTTTCCATACACGATGATTATTGCATTCTTTAATTAACAGATAACTTAATTCAATTAGTAAAACAGTAACGAAAAATTATATTGATAATAATTGATAATTATTGTGTAATTTGTTGGATATCTTAGATTGCAGTTTCTGTACTTATCGTATATAATAATTCTTATCATTTATAATACTATAAAGTTTTTTTGCTATTTGTACGTAATTATTGATTATATATCGCATATACATTTTAAAATCATTATCTATTTTATACGTACATTAATTGATTGACACTCTGTGATTTATATGATTGTTATTCTTTAAATTACTTAAATTATGACTCAAATTATATATATTAAAATACAATTGAATTTAATTGGAATCTAAATGATAGAATAGAAATAGAGATAATTCTGATTCTTACACAAACTTGGACATGGAATTTCAAAAAATATAAAGTATTAAATGTTTAATTATTTAAACAATACGATATAGAAAGGTCAAATTTGGTTAAGGCATTTTGAAGGAATGGTTCTACTTGTCCTCTTCTTGCATGTGACTGAGTGCTCTCTTGTTCGTTCTCCTTATACATACATCGCGACATCGCCATCTCTAAAAGATTTTTTAAAGATCTTAAAGATTTAAATGGAAATCTAAGTGCAAATATGTATTACCTATATAATCTTAATAAGTTGAAGACTTTCGAGGCTTTCACTTGCGAGAAAATATAAAAAAAAAGTAACATCGACCTTCCAAAAGTCACGAAGACCAAATCGATCTTCCATGTCATATCTGTGCGTCTCGTTTTCTTTTCAGATCGTGAATTTTAACAGCGGAAAGACCTTAGATATTGAATTGTTCATTTACTCATTGATCCCAGCATTGGTGCTGCTCGGTCAAGTGCGCGATTTAAAATATATGGTGCCATTCTCAGCACTAGCGAACATCTTCATGATAACCGGCTTTGCGATTACGCTCTACTACGTCTTCAGCAACAGCAACCTGCATTCGTTCAGCAACAACAAGCTGTTCGCCTCGGTGGATCAGCTGCCCCGTTTCTTCGCGACTGTGATATTCGCCATCGAAGGTATCGGCGTTGTAAGTTACCATTATCAATTACCATAGTGTTATTAAGCGCGAATTAAATCGTGGTACCTTGGCCTTTCTTTATAAGGTCGGAAATCCAGAAGGGGACATTAAACGCGAGTAACTGGTCGTCGCAGGAATAGGTGGTTTTTTATTTGATCGAAAAGGTAACAGCTGAGAATAGAACTAATTCGATGCAGGAAGGCAACTGTTACTTTTGTAAGCGAATAATTTAAAAAATATTCGTACGGTCTCTCTTGCGTCTTTCGCATTCTCGAGCGCTTCCAGGTACCATTGTAATCGCAGGTGATGCCCGTGGCGAACAACATGAAATATCCACATCATTTCCTCGGATGTCCTAGTGTACTTAACATCACGATGACGATAGTCGTGAGTCTATACGCTATGATGGGAGTGTTCGGTTTCGTCGCCTTCGGCGAAGATGTACAACCCAGCATCACGTTGAGTCTGCCGACGGAGGAAATGTGAGTAGAAATCATCTCTTTTTGCTAAACGTTAATGTCATTTTGATACATGCGTTGTAAACTGATAAGTGGTAATGTTTTAGTCCGGCCCAAGTGGTGAAGGCCCTCATTGCTTTAGCTGTTCTCTTTACTTACGGTCTACAGCTCTTCGTGCCGCTCGAGATCATGTGGAATTCCATAAAGCACTTGTTTAACCATAAGTTCCTGACCTTGGGCGAAACGGTGATGAGAATATGCATTGCTATGCTAACAGGTAAAATGTTAAATTATTCGAACGAGAAGCTGCTACTGTGCGTAGTTAAATCTGAACAGCTTAATTATAAATTGAAACAAATTTAATCTAGGCTATAAATAAATGATTAAAATATAAATCAAACGAAAAAATGCTAATACAATTTTAAGAATATGGATTTAAAATATTTCGGCTATACGAAGCGAGTGTTATTAAACGCGAAAAACCGGTCCCAGATGTAATAATTTTTTACCTGATTGGAAAGGATAATAGAGAATAGAAATAGTTTCGACACAGGAAAATAACTGTTGCTTGTATAAGCGGATGATTCACAAATTTACAAATCGTCTACATCATTCGGCGACTCGTGCCTTTTTCGTATCCATAAATGGATCTCTAGAGAAAGGGGACATATGATTTTTAAAAAGAATTAGAAGTAATTATACATTTTTATTCCAGATTCATTTTATAGAATTTCCTTTCTTATATATGCCATAAATTTTCCCTCTCTTTTCTTTTCTTTTTTATTAGAATCTTAATTCTTTGAGGGACGTAAATTATAGAATTTCAAACTGAAATGTGATATAACTAATATCGTGGACAAATATTTTTCACATTTTTGGGTGGTTTTGTTTATAGTCTGTTCTTATTTCAAGACTGTCTTAAGTAATGTCTTAAGATGCTAATATCGCCCTCTGATTGGTTCATGATATTTTAAGATTGTACTTAAGATGGTCCTAAATATAAGCTCCAACTATGAATACCACCCTTTACCGAGAGATTTATGTTACGTGAGATCAGAGATATCACTCTGACTAATCTATTAAGATTGCAATAATGAGTTTAGCAAAATGGTTAGATAGTTATCAGATATACTTAAAGAGACGGCGTGTTTTTCAATAGGCCAAAAGTTAACACCGCTTTCCCGTAACCTTTTCCTGTTGCGTTTTTGCCGCGACATTCTAGCGATTGCGAGATAGAGAAACCGCGATGAATCACGCATTCCCGACAGAGAGGAGGTCGAGTCGCAGACCCAATCGGTAGGCCGATTGAATGATCGGTGTCACCCACTTACTCCGCGTGCGTGTACGCGTGACATGCCTTTTTATCACCAAGTGTACCGAGAAAGAAAGGAATCATCTGCTATATTCGGCTCGGATCAGTTCTTTCGTTCGCTGCAATAGATTTGGCCCACTTTAGGCCGTGTGTCCGATTCAATCTCTCATTGTTACGATAGATTTTTCCGCTTATTAGAAGTTTCCCTCTAAATACTAACTAAACCTTCTAAACAGTATGTAACAGTACATCAATATTATAATTTATCAACAATAAATGTAATGTGACACATGTTATACATAACAACAGTTACATTGTTGAGTAGGAAATTATAACGTCGATGTAATATTATTTTGTGTTCAACGAATTCCGATGTGTCGAATAATTGTAAGCACGTAAATACAGTATCACGAATATCTAAGTATCGTGAAAATTAATGTGTTACTCGTTTGCAACTTATATGTTTCCTTTTCCTTTATTCGATATTTATGTAAAGCATAATCAGAATATTATGCGATTAATAACACATTTTTTATAATTATGGCTGTGTTCCAAAATTTACTGCTAATACTGAAAATTTGTAGTGTACGTGACGTAAATTATAGATTTTTTTACGTTTATTATAAGTGTATATAAGCTTTAATTCAATCGGAAAACGATGATTAATATGTTTATGATATATTATGATTTTTTTTACAGTGGTTCTCGCGCTGTTGGTGCCTGATTTGGATCCGTTCATTTCTCTAGTCGGTGCAATATTCTTTTCTATCCTCGGCATCAGTATCCCAGCTGTCGTCGAGACGATTTCGTGCTGGGAAAGCCATTTGGGTACTTTCAACTGGCGGTTATGGAAAAACTCTGTGCTAGTTATATTCTCGTTATTAGCGTTAATATTTGGTACATGGATCTCAGTGCAAGATATAATCAGCCTTCGAAACAAATAAATTTTAGTATTTTATTTACTATTTTATTTTAATTTCTTATACAATTGGAACTCCAGTGTCGACAAGAAACGCAACGAGGTTTTTAATGGAACAACTAATTAGCACGATACGTACTTTGTATATTCTCGTTATTTGCGTTTGTATTTGACTCATGGATCTCAATATTATATAGATATAATGAAGTATTATAGTTGATAATATATTTTACTGAGTTTACTGTTTTATTTACGTCTCTTCTTAATTTCCTGCATTATGCACTTATTGTCAGCTGTTTATATTAAAGATGAGACGAAGAGATGAATGTCCTAGTGCGAGAATGGAAAAAAAGTTTCACGACTGATAGGCTCTGTTTTAATTACAATTTCCATACATTATAAATATAATCATCACGAATTATGGATCTATCATTCTTATTATTCATGTATCCTTTAATTTCAAGATCGTACTTCATTGATACATACTGATGGAAAATCAGTTGTAACAAATCAGATATTATTATTATTTCCTTATCAATAACATACATTGTTCACGAGCTTGTCAAAAGAGCACCGTAATTAATATATCTCGAATTTAATTAATAATAGATAGCGAGTATCGGACAATAAATTTTGTTGTACATCTAATTATACACGAAATGACAAGATAAAAGAACACCTTAATCAATCGGTATTTGTGGAGTTTATTGTCTGGATTCAATATAGATATATTTTTCAATTTCTGAGATACTAGATTACGCTATCTATTATTAATTAAATTCTAGATATATTGATTACAGTGCTCTTTTGATAACCTTGTGAACAATGCTGTTATTGATAAGGAAATAATAATATCTAATTTGTTACAAATGATTTTGATGATTTTGATGATTTTGATGATAATACCCTCAAATATGTTAAATTTTTATGTAGAATTTATAATAATTTATAATAATCGTAATTATAAATGATGAATACTTGACACTTTTTTACATTTTTAATATCTTCCTTAAACTTAATTATTCCAATTTTTAGTTATTATTTTAATAATGTATTGTTATATAATTAGATACTATATTCTGTGGGCATCGTAAAACATTACTGTTCACGATTCGAGCTTGATAACGCAAGATAACAAAAAAAATTCAGTCGTATATCACTAATTCTGAGTTTATTTTCAAATGCAATAAAAAGAATTCTTTTCAAAACTGTTCGGAAAAAGAATACTTTTTGTATCTGAAAATTGATTCTAAAATAATGACATAACAACTGCTCCGCCTGTTTTGATCTAATATTATATGGAGCACAATTTCCGCGAAAAAACGGAACGATATGACAAATACACTTTTGTATTTATTTAAAAAAATTGTATTTAATTAAAAAAATTGTATTCACTTAATTCATTGCAATTTTTATTAATATGCTTACCTTTTCAGCTTATATGTATTGAATACAAGCATTTTAATCAATATATATACCGTTAAAAATTAATAATTTCTAATTGTCCGGTCCGCTTTTCTGCTCAAATTGTGCTCCGTGTAATATTAGGAGATCAGAGGAGATAAAAGGAGATCAAAACAGGTGGAACAGAACGCGCGTAAACGCGAAAATCTAGTAAAGTTTAGTTAATTTTGTCTTCCGCGTTTCCGCATTTCCGCGCTTTATGTAATGGCATCCTTACAGCGGCTGGGTTCGAAAATGTTATCCGAGTACCTCCATGTATTAGTTTGTCTTTGTTGTTCACAAATATTAAACAAGGATAAGATGATAGACGAGGCACCCAGGTAACGTTTTCGAACGCAATCAGCGTTACCAACCTTGTAACTAAAAAGAATATTTTCGACACAGCTATCGGAACACAATCAGAAATTGAACTCATTTGCAATGGGAACGAGTCATATGAATTTCTGTAAATGAGCTCAAAATTTAATTAATTGACAGATCTCCCTATTACTTTCAACTTACTGCACATCCGCCGGAATGGGTCATCCATCTAAAGGTACATTTTCACGAGCCGCTCCAACTGGCTCTTTCAGCGACAAAATGGATCAGGTGGTTAAAATTGACGAATACCAAGTGAATGAAAAAGCACTTCACCTTCACGCGTCGCGTTATGAAAGAGAGAAAGGGGTGGCACCCAGTTGGACACGGCTCAATTGGACACGAGCCACTCACAGCGCTTGAGACATTTTCAACTTACTGCACATCCGCCGGAATGGGTCATCCATCTAAAGGTACATTTTCATGAGCCGCTCCAACTGGCTCTTTCAGCGACAAAATGGATCACGTGGCTAAAATTGACGAATACCAAGCGAATGAAACAGCACTTCACCTTCACGCGTCGCATTATGAAAGAGAGAAAGGGGTGGCACCCAGTTGGACACGGCTCAATTGGACACGAGCCAGCGCTTGAGACTACAAAGCTCCTAAGCACCGGTCGCTGTGATTGGTGGTGTCCAATCGAACCGTGATCAATCGGGATCACCCCGTTCCAATATGCTCCTACCATAGCTCCTACTCACTCCAACGCGCTTGATAGAGTGAGTAGGAGCTATGGTAGGAGTATGTTGGAGCATGCGACGAGAACAAACCTTTAGATGCGGATCGCGCAGTCCATTCTCTATGTCTTTGGTACGTACCCTAAGGGGCTCCGCACAATAAAAGAATATGTTGGAGCATGCGACGAGAACAAACCTTTAGATACGGATCGCGCAGTCCATTCTCTATGTCTTTGGTACGTACCCTAAGGGGCTCCGCACAATAAAAGGAACAGGGAACAGAGAACAGAGAATAAGAATTTCAACCTATCAGAAATCATGTATTGTGGAATACGCAGGGTGTATGTCGGAGCCCCTGACTCTCCTCCAGAACAGAGGCGAAATGTGTCGATTGAATTTGAACAAAATTGTAAATGGAAAGCGACGTGTGTCGATTTGTGTCAAGTGTGTCGATTGTATCTCCTAAAAGGA